ATCCGAACACCAGTTTAAATGGTTTCATTTTAATAAAATTTTGTATAAGTACTTAATGAAGCATAATAAGTAAATGATAAAAATTTCAAAATGATTGCACTGCTTTAAAGCCCTTTGACCTTTAATAATGTGTGGATGCACACTGATGTGCTACGCATTCTCCAACGCGCCTAGGCATGCTTCTGATCAGGTTTTCAATATCCTTCTGTGGTATCTCATTCCAGGCAACCACCAACTCCTCTCGAAGTGCTTCTAGAGTCTGAGGAGGACGTTGCAAATTGAGCAATCTCCTACCCATCATATCCCACACGTGCTCAATTGGGGATAAGTCGGGAGATCTTGGTGGCCATGGTAACAATGTGACATCATTATGTTGAAAGAAGTCTATTGTGACCTTTGCAACATGTGGTCGGGCATTATCTTGTTGGAAAGTTGGATCTGCCAGGGTGTCAAGATAGGGTAAAAGATGGGGTTCTAGAACTTCGTGGATATAACGCTGCGCGTTCATGTTACCTCTGATGAAGATTAAAGGTGACCTGGAACCATAAGCTATAGCACCCCAAACCATAACTCCAACAGTGTGATGAACATGTCTTTCAACAAAAAACTGTGGATTCCTCCTTTCACCACGTCGCCTTCTAACCCTGGCACGACCATCGTGCATGCCTAAACAAAATCGAGACTCGTCACTAAAGACAATACTGTTCCATTCCTGATCCCAGAGTGACCGTTGTCTGCACCAGTCAAGGCGATTACGTCGGTGTTCTCGAGTTAAAGGGAGGACCCAGTGTGGCCAAAACTTCTCATTCGTCGGTAAACACTTCGCATGCCAATAGGTCTTCCGTGTTCTGCAAACCATTCATTTGCAATGGACCTGGTAGTGGAGAAACGGTCCCTTAAAGCCAATAATCTTAGGCGGCGATCTTCACGGTCTGTTGTTCTACGGCGGCGTCCAGTGCTCCTTGCTCTTTGCGTACGGCCTTCTCAAAGCCATGCCTGACAACACCTAACCACAGTGTCTACACTTCTTTGCACTCTAACTGCAATTGCCCCGAAAAGAAAGTCCAGCTTCCCGAAGTCCCACTATACGGCCCCTATCAAACTCACTAAGTTGACGAAATCGTACAGGTCTCCGTACTCTAGGCATCGTAACCGATCGTAAAGGATGTCAAGAACCAAAATCCGCCAACGTTGATTCTTTACTGCGGCTGATATATTCATTTTTAGAGCGTTAGTGAATTAAAAAAGCAGTATAAAAACGGGAATGTCCAACTGATAAGGCTGAAAATTTGTTCACTTGTTATTTACAGTAAGATAAATACATTCACCAACTTTTATTAAAATAAAACCATTTAAACTGGGTGTTCGGATTTATATGTCACTTAGTATTTTACAAAAATAATTAATACATATACCTAAAAAAAATGGAGTGGTAGGCCTGTCGCTGTTCGCAATCTCTTCCAGTCTGTTGAACATGGCGGATTCGGTGCCTCCGACCCACTTTGACGTTTCAAACATCTCCGACACTTTTTTCCCGTGCGCCTTGGCCAGTTCCATAGCTTGCCATTTCGTGAACGGATGATCGCCAAATTCATGTACATACTCCCGCGTCAGATAATAAAACTTCTTTCCCTTGGTCATGTCGAACATTTTCCGCGCTTTGCTTCTCGCTTCGGTCTCCGACATGGTCGGATTGAACTGTTTCAGTAACCTTTCGGCGAAATTCTGGCCGGCACCGTAGATTCTAGCGTAGTTGATGACCTTGGCATGGTCTCTGCTGATGCCGACTGCCTTTGCGGTAACGCTGTGCATGTCCGTGCCTTCGGTTTTGTTTCCGCTTAACGTCATCCATCCCAACGGTGTGCAGCCGTGCATCGCCGCATGGCGGGAATCCCCTAAAACAAATTTGTGTCGCTTTGTACACGGTGACCCGTTTTAAAACGCGGTGCTCAACTGTCCACTGCTGCATAATGTCTACTGGTAAAAATGCTAGGAACGGCCGAGTCCAACGGCACTCCCACCCGGTTAGGCGGAGAGTACTAGCCATTTCAAAAACATCCATCCTTTGTGCCCTGTATCTTCCTGATCACGAATCCTGAGTCTGGAACCACCTACAGAAATTCCTAAGCCCGCCACTGGGATTCTTACCTATTACAGAAGCTATCCACAGCTCTTGCGAATCGACATCGGCACCCACGATGTTATAACCAGGAGGAGCCTGAACCATCGCTCTGAGCTCCGATCCAATTCTTTCTGGGTGTGCGTTTGAAGCTGTCATCCACGTGGATTCTACAGCTCTTCGAGTAAGTGTACCACAAACTACCACTTGGGGTATGATCGCACCAAAATTGTCTGGAAGATGGAAAATTAGATGGCACGTTTATGGTTTGTGGTTAAATTTGTAACGTTTGGTTGTTTTGATGTTAGATAAAGTCAAGGAAGAACTTAAGTTGATGATGCGCGGTATTATTATTTATACACAAACCCGTAGATTCGTGCAGCTCCATGGGCAAATCCTGCTTGTTCAGCCACACAACCATCTGGTCCATAATTCGAGCTCTATTATTTCTCCAATAAGATAGTTTTCTAGCAATTGACAGAACTTGTTCCGCACTCTCCGTATCGCCAGCCAAAACGTTGTCGGAAAATTTGGTCAGATAATCTTTAGCCAACGGATTTCCTACATTTCGAGATGGTCCGTCTTTGTGAGGTAGTTTGAAAAACCAACAACAATCTTCTATTACGGTATTGCACCAAATTCCAGTACCTATGAAAAATATGCCTTTTGTTACTAGCATTACTTACTTACCTTGTAGCGATATTTTGTAATCAAAAAGGGAGATTTTATTCCAGAAAAAATTTAAGGGATTTCCTTACAAAATGTTCTTTGGCCTAAATTGATGCGGTTTAGACATCATTTAACTAAAGGGTTGTCCAATAGGGACGCAGGAAAGTAAAGGTCAATTTGACATAGACGCCATCTTTGTTTTCTGTCACCGACATGTCATTTTGTTAGTTGAATGTTTACCATTGATCGCTATGGAGTCGTATTCGATTGAAGACCGCATTAAAGTTATTCAAGAGCACTACAAAAATGGTGCAAAAATAAAAACACGCGTTTCGCGCGCTTCGTGAACATTTCGGTCGCAACAACCGCCCAAACGAAACAATCATCGGTCGTCTGGTGCGTAAATTCGAGGCAACAGGTTCTGTGGCAAATCTGCCAGGCTCTGGCCGGCCAAGGAGCGTTCGCACACCGGAAAATATTGCTGTTGTGAAGGAGAGTGTGAGAGATGATCCGAAACAATCAACAACGCGTCGATCCCAGGAATTGGGCATTTCGAGAACCAGTTTGCTCCGCATTCTCCACAAGGATTTGAATGTACACGCCTACAAGATCCAATTGACGCAAGAGCTGCGTCGGGCCGACCATTTTTCGCGCCGAACGTTCTCAGATTGGCTCCTTGAACACCGCCAAATTGATGCCAATTTTTCATCAAATATCATGTTCAGCGACGAAGCGCATTTCACTTTGAATGGGACGGTAAACCAGCAAAACTGCCGCATCTGGGCGAACGAAAATCCCCGTAAGTATCAAGAGCAACCGATGCATCCTCAAAAAGTGACTGTGTGGTGTGCATTGTGGTCAAAAGGCATCATCGGACCTTACATTTTCGAAAATGCGGCCGGGGACGCCGTTACCGTCAATTCTGAGCGATATCACGTGATGATAGAGGACTATTTTTTGCCGCAACATGAAGGAATGGATATGGACGATGTTTATTTCCAACAAGACGGTGCAACATGCCACACAACCAACGTCAATATCCATCGATTGCAGTCCTTCTTCGGTGATCGCGTGATTTCGCGCAGAGGAAATGTGCCATGGCCACCAAGATCGTGCGATTTGACTCCCTTGGACTTCTTTTTATGGGGATATTTGAAAAGCAAAGTCTACGTCAACAAACCAGCCACAGTCAAAGAACTCAAAAACAACATCACTGCCGAGATAAATGCCATAGAACCGACCATGTTGCAAAATGTCATTGAAAATTTCGACCATCGCGTGGACGTCTGTAATCCAGTCGTGGTGAACATTTGAGCGATATTATTTTTCATACATAAATCGTATAAATGAACCTTCAAAATAAAGTACCCAACTTGATTTGAATATCAATCTATCTTGTTTTAATATGCGTTTACTTTCCTGCGTCCATTTTGGACAACCCCATATAAAAGTTTGGCAATACACCTTCGTTCAAAGTAATTTTCACCACATTCATACACTCTCCATCCGCCAAACGCAGTCCTTAAACCAACTCTGCCAAGTTTCACCCGGGAGTGTGTCCCAAGGTCCTCATCGCTCGAAAATCGTTTTCCTTTTAGCTTCATTTTCACTTGCGGAAACAGTGCAAAGGTGCAGGGAGCAAGATCTGGACTTTAAGGAGGATGCTCAATAAGTTTCAGTCCAGCAGCGGTCAAATACTCGGTGCAGGCTGCCACTTAGCAGTGACGGTATTTTGTGTGTCCAAAACGACACGCTCCACAATCTCGGTCGATAAAAAAATATAGCTATTTTTTTCTTAACAGATCGGGATTTTCAGACAGCTACGCGTGTGTCCTCATGATCAAAGACCCAAACTTTGTTTTGAGCCTTGGTCGGCACATCGCGGTAATAGAGCCAAGTCTCGTCATCTGTCACGATGCTGTTCACATGCCGAGATTGACGCTTATCAAACATTTTCAGCATCTTTCGTCACCAAGTCATACGACGAGTCTTCTGCTCTTCCGTAAGACTGTGCGGTATCCAGAGGGAACAAGGTTTCCTCGCGTGTAAATGGTCATGCAGAATTGCTGATGCATGAAGGTGTAAGGTCTCCTTCTTCTACGCACTGGTCTATGCTTAAACCACGCGTAAGGTTATACCATGAAGCATCCCTCAAACCGGCGCGAAATAATCGCGGCGAAGTATTCGCAACGAAATTCAGAGCGAAATTCGCAATCTGTTTCGCCTGTTTATTCATACCAAAGCGTCTTATTCGCTCGCGAACGTGAAGGTTTCGACAGGTTGCGTACATTTTATTTTTGCCTTTTGCAATGAGCTCGTCTTCAGAAGAAGAGGAGGCACTTCTATTTCTTGCTTTAGAAGAGGAACAAAATGCACGGTAAGTTATGTTTATTTAACGCCATTTGATAGTTGGGTATGTATTAAGTTTAACGAAGTACATAAAACAAATATTTTCAATTTTGTTTAGGAAACGAAGGAAGTGGGTACATGATATTAACTTGGAACGAAATAAATTTGGGGAATACCATACCTTGATGCCACAACTTCGGCTGGATGAACAGCGCTTTTACGTATATTTTAGAATGACTCCAGAGTGTTTCGATGAAATATTGAACTTGGTGAAAGATGAAATACGAAAATCTGACACAAATTATCGTGAAGCTATTTCGCCAGAAGAACGACTTGCTATTACACTCAGGTAAAAAAATTATATGTATTAAAATTAGTAGGCTTATCGAATACGAAAACTTCAGGGATCGTGAAATAAATATTTTATTGTAATAATTGGACTACATGTTGCCACTAGGATTAAATGTTGCTAAATAATTCGAGGCAGAATTTGCCTCCTCTGTTGGGTATATTATTGAAGTAAACCCATGCCGCTTGGGAAGGACGACATACTACTATCATACATACTTTTAGAATTCTGGGTAAACGCTGAAGACATTTCAATATGTTCAAATTCTTCGTGCGCTATTAATTCGGCTATTTTTAGTTTTATTCGGGCTTGACGCTTTAGGGAAGTGTTTTCACAGTCTGTGCATGTGCCAAGAAAAGTGAATCAATGGCCTCATTCTCTTTTTTAGGTTTTTACCTTCAAAATAATTAATGAGCTGTTTACAGACGAAGATCGTGGTTCATAGCGTTTTCTGCTCGTTTTATATTTTGGTGTATTGCAGTCTGCGGAAAGGTGTGCCCTGGAGTAGTCACTGCTGTAGTGTTCAATGAAGAAGGTGGTGCTGTCTGTGTTGTCAAGGCGTTCTGTGCATCTTCTGCATCTACATCAGCATTTTCATCTTCTCCATGGCCGCGGTCTTCCAAATTTTCGGTTTCTACTTTCCAGCCCTTTCTTGATATATATTTGAGTTAAATTCGGCAGTCTCATAATGTATGACGTCAATATCTTTCACATTAGACGACGTTTTGGCAAATGCCAAAAAAGGACGGAAAAATTCCATGTAGTCAGCCCACTGCCATTTCTTTATGTTGCCCACTGCTTGGCCGGTCTTTAGTTTGGTAGATTTTATATATTTTGCAAATGTGTCATCTGATATTCTTCCACCTTTTTTTTACTTCATCATATAAAAACGTTTTTTTTATAGATTCCTTGCCACTGGTGACACCTCTATACCATGGGCATAGCTTTCGAGTTGGCTTTACAACAGTGAGTGCAATCGTAACCGAAGTCTATGAAGCGATATGCAGATATATGGAGCATATATATTTACCAGAACCAACAGAGAATATATGGAAAAAATGTGCTGAAGAATTTATATAGATGTGGATTTCCCAATTGCATTGGCAGCGTGGACGGTAAACATGCAACAATCAAGAGACCTAACAACGTGGCTCCAATTACTGGTGCTATTTACATAAATATTCAATAGTACTTATGACCATTGTTGGCCCGGACTATAAATTTATATGTGTTGATATTGGTGGTTTCGGAAAAAATAGTGATGGGGTATTTTCGAAACCTCAAACATGGGAAAACGATTTGAACAAAATTTAATGAGTGTCCCTGCACCTAGATTTCTCCCTGGGCAAAATGAAATCTGCTCGTACGTCTTAATTGGTGATGAAGCATTTGCTTTAAATCATACCTTATGAGACCATTTTCTTATAAGCAGACTTTAACAGACGTCAGAAAAGAGAGATACAATGTAAGACTTTGTCGAGCTAGAAGGGTCGTGGAAAATGCGTTTGGTATTTTGTCTCAAAAATGGCGAATATTTTACAGGCCATTAGAAACTAAAGTAGATACTACTATTCTAATTGTACGTACGGCATGTGTTTTACACAATTTTTTACGAAGTAAAAGTGGCGATGACAAATATTTTCAATTCTTAGATCCCCCAGAACCCGTGCTTGGAGCTTTTACTGATATAGCAAATGATCCTCGGCGGGCAGCAAGGCTAGCATTTTCTACTCGTGACAAATTCGTAAATTATTTTAATTCTGATATGCCTATGCCCAATATATAGAATGTTCGTTTTCACATTTGTGTAGACTGTAAATTATTTAACAGTCAATAAAAAATATTAGGTACATACCATTTGTATTTAATTCTTTTTCCTATTTCGATCCAAATCTTGTCTTTCTTTCTCACATTCCTGTATTCATCGTTCGACAAATCATACAAACAAGGATACTTTTTCACTATTTCTATCAATAATTCCGTTTTTGCCATTGCGAATTTTTGAAGAACGGCGTCAAAAACGCGGCCAAAGGCGAACTGAAATACGCCGCGATAAAAACGCTGGAACAATCGCATTCGCTTCGCACAAGTCTGAGCCTGTCCGTAAACCGCCGCGTTTTAATCTGATCGCGAATTCATCGCCGCGAAATTTTCGCAGCCAAAGCGAATATTTCGCGCCGGTTTGTGGGATGCTTTAAACTGCCTCATAACATGGAGCCTCCTGCGTCCGTTTGTTAAGTCATATTGCAAAATTTTTATAGTACCCATTGTACTCAAATATCGTATTTGTAACACCGGATGTTCAAAATAAAGGCAGTAAAAAACAATACGCATGACGTTTCTTTGTTTACAATTTCTATGGCGTTTCGTATTAAAAATAAAAAAATATATATTTTTAAAATGGACATACAGTAATAAACAAAAGTATATAGACTGAATTTTTACCTAAATACCTTTAGAAACGAATTCATACTTCATTGCTCCATAAACAAATGCGTTATTAGTAGAAAAACTAAATTCCTTGTTTGTACATTATCTGCAATGCAGTCTGAATATAAGCACTTTTTTATGAGGGACAAAAATATGTAGACAAATTCTTTTCAACATTAGTTTAGTACAGTTTCGTGTCAGAAGAGGATTCGTTTGTGGAATAAGTTGAGTGATTTTAAGACCATGCCGCGTGGTCCATAAATTTATTTCGATGTGAAAACTGAGATCATTGAGTTATACAAAGATGGTCAACGTCAATATGACATTGCCAAAAATTCGAAGCTGAAGCGTAAAGCAGTTTGGGCAATATTGAACAGATATAAACAAAAAGGTATCTTGGAAGCCTCTAAGAGAAGTGCTAGATCGGTTAGATTAATAAAAGTAATTCCGTCCAAAGATCCGTTTAAAAGCCCCAAGACAAATAAAAGCCGAAATCGAGATAAAAGGAATTGTCAAAGTAGAAGATTAAATGACCTCGAGAAAAACCGTAAGGACCGATTGCAATTTGCATGGTTGCATCTTGATAGGAGCATCTGTGACTGGAAGAGGGTATGTTTCAGTGACGAATCCATGTTCAATATGTTTGGATCAGATGGTGTTCGTTACGGTAGACATCCTAGTGGACAAAAATTGAACCCCAAGTACACTTTGCCCACTGTCAAGCATGGAAGCGGGTCTGTTATGCTTTTCGGGGTTTGGGATGGGACCTTTACATAGAATAGATGGCATTATGGATAAGTTTGTATACACAGACATACTAAAGCATGTCATGTTACCCCATATGGAAGACAATATGCCCTTAAGATCAATCTTCCAGCAAGATAATGACCCGAAGCACACTTCAAATCTCGCAAAAAAATTGTTTCTGGATGAAAAAAAAACAGTTCTCAAATGGCCTTCACAGTCTCCCGATATAAACCCCAGTGAAAATCTATGGGAATACTTAGATAAGCAAATACGAGATACAAATTATTTAAACAAGGATGAACTTTTTGCCGCTTTAGAGCAAAAGTGGAGACAGATTTATGAATTTTATATGAAGAAACTTCTACAATCTATGCCGAGACGATGCCAGGCGGTGATTGATAATAATGGTCATGCTACAAAATATTTTATATAATTCAATGAACTTTGCTTCCTTTTTCTATAACTGTTTTGCTTTGTCTATATATTTTTATCCTTCATAGTTCCACTTTTTTACAATTATTTTTTTCTTGAAGGGATTCTAATGAATTTATTTATGTATAAGTGAGTATTATGCTATAACGAATTATGTACACAGCTTGGTGTATTAATGAAACAAGTTAAAAAAAGAAAAACATCACAATATTAATTTGTCTATATACTTTTGTCCATTACTGTATATCCATTTTGCTCGTAAAAAAATTGAAATTGATATATTCGTTTTCCTAATACAAATACTGTAATAATTTCTCATTTATTCTACGAAATTAGATAGTCAAGTAGCCTATTGTTCCTAAAAAGATAATTCAAATCTTTCAAAACCTCCTGTATACACTCTTCACGAATAGATATTACTCTTTTTCCATTTTTCTAAAATCCGCGGACGCCCGCTTCTACTCGCGGCCAAAGCAAAACTACGTAGCCGATTCGACTGAAAGTTTGATAGTAGCTATCTACAAGAATGTCCTACACGATAGTACATTTCTCTTGCGTCAGTGGCACCATATATCGGACCGCACTAGTATGTATACTAAGTGACATATAAATCCGAACACCCAGTTTAAATGGTTTTATTTTAATAAAATTTTGTATAAGTACTTAATGAAGCATAATAAGTAAATGATAAAAATTTCAAAATGATTGCACTACTTTAAAGCCCTTTGACCTTTAATAATGTGTGGATGCACCCTGATGTGCTACGCATTCTCCAACGCGCCTAGGCATGCTTCTGATCAGGTGGTCAATGTCCTCCTGTGGTATCTCATTCCAGGCAACCACCAACTCCTCTCGAAGTGCTTCTAGAGTCTGAGGAGGACGTTGCAAATTAAGCAATCTCCTACCCATCATATCCCACACGTGCTCAATTGGGGATAAGTCGGGAGATCTTGGTGGCCATGGTAACAATGTGACATCATTATGTTGAAAGAAGTCTATTGTGACTCTTGCAACATGTGGTCGAGCATTATCTTGTTGGAAAGTTGGATCTGCCAGGGTGTCAAGATAGGGTAAAAGATGGGGTTCTAGAACTTCGTGGATATAACGCTGCGCGTTCATGTTACCTCTGATGAAGATTAAAGGTGACCTAGAACCATAAGGTATAGCACCCCAAACCATAACTCCAACAGTGTGATGAACATGTCTTTCAACAAAAAACTGTGGATTCCTCCTTTCACCACGTCGCCTTCTACCCCTGGCACGACCATCGTGCATGCCTAAACAAAATCGAGACTCGTCACTAAAGACAATACTGTTCCATTCCTGATCCCAGAGTGACCGTTGTCTGCACCACTCAAGGCGATTACGTCGGTGTTCTCGAGTTAAAGGGAGGACCCAGTGTGGCCGGTATGAAAACAAGCCAAAACTTCTCATTTGTCGGTAAACACTTGGCATGCCAATAGGTCTTCCGTGTTCTGCAAACCATTCATTTGCAATGGACCTGGTAGTGGAGAAACGGTCCCTTAAGGCCAATAATCTTAGGCGGCGATCTTCACGGTCTGTTGTTCTACGGCGGCGTCCAGTGCCCCTTGCTCTTTGCGTACGGCCTTCTCGAAGCCATGCCTGACAACACCTAACCACAGTGTCTACACTTCTTTGCACTCTAACTGCAATTGCCCGAAAAGAAAGTCCAGCTTCCCGAAGTCCCACTATACGGCCCCTATCAAACTCACTAAGTTGACGAAATCGTACAGGTCTCCGTACTCTAGGCATCGTAACCGATCGTAAAGGATGTCAAGAACCAAAATCCGGCAACGTTGATTCTTTACTGCGGCTGAAATATTAATTTTTAGAGAATTAGTGAATTAAAAAAAAGCAGTATAAAAACCAACTGATAAGGCTGAAAATTTTTTCATTTGTTATTTACAGTAAGATAAATACACTCACCAACTTTTATTAAAATAAAACCATTTAAACTGGGTGTTCGGATTTATATGTCACTTAGTATATTTACAAAAATAATTAATACACATTACCTAAAAATGGAGTGGTAGGCCTGTCGCTGTTCGCAATCTCTTCCAGCCTGTTGAACATGGCGGACTCGGTGCCTCCGACCCACTTGACGTCTCAAACATCTCCGACACTTTTTTCCCGTGCGCCTTGGCCAGTTCCATAGCTTGCCATTTCGTGAACGGATGATCGCCAAATTCATGTACATACTCCCGCGTCAGATAATAAAACTTCTTTCCCTTGGTCATGTCGAACATTTTCCGCGCTTTGCTTCTCGCTTCGGTCTCGGACATGGTCGGATTGAACTGTTTCAGTAACCTTTCGGCGAAATTCTGGCCGGCACCGTAGATTCTAGCGTAGTTGATGACCTTGGCGTGGTCTCTGCTGATGCCGACTGCCTTTGCGGTGACGCTGTGCATGTCCGTCCCTTCAGATTTGTTTCCGCTTAACGTCATCCATCCCAACGGTGTGCAGCCGTGCATCGCCGCATGGCGGGAATCCCCTAAAACAAATTTGTGTCGCTTTATACACGGTGACCCGTTTTAAAACGCGGTGCTCAACTGTCCACTGCTGCATAATGTCTACTGGTAAAAATGCTAGGAACGGCACTCTCCCCACCACTCTCGCCCTGTATCTTCCTGATCACGAATCCTGAGTCTGGAACCACCTACAGAAATTCCTAAGCCCGCCACTGGGATTCTTACCTATTACAGAAGCTATCCACAGCTCTTGCGAATCGACATCGGCACCCACGATGTTATAACCAGGAGGAGCCTGAACCATCGCTCTGAGCTCAGATCCAATTCTTTCCGGGTGTGCGTTTGAAGCTGTCATCCATGTGGATTCTACAGCTCTTCGAGTAAGTGTACCACAAACTACCACTTGGGGTATGATCGCACCAAAATTGTCTGGAAGATGGAAAATTAGATGGCACGTTTATGGTTTGTGGTTAAATTTGTAACGTTTGATAGTTTTGATGTTGGATAAAGTCAAGGAAGAACTTAAGTTAATGATGCGCGGTATTATTATTTATACACAAACCCGTAGATTCTTGCAGCTCCTTGGGCAAATCCTGCTTGTTCAACCACACAACCATCTGGTCCATAATTCGAGCTCTATTATTTCTCCAATAAGATAGTTTTCTAGCAATTGACAGAACTTGTTCCGCACTCTCCGTATCGCCAGCCAAAACGTTGTCGGAAAATTTGGTCAGATAATCTTTAGCCAACGGATTTCCTACATTTCGAGATGGTCCGTCTTTGTGAGGTAGTTTGAAAAACCAACAACAATCTTCTATTACGGTATTGCACCAAATTCCAGTACCTATGAAAAATATGCCTTTTGTTACTAGCATTACTTACTTACCTTGTAGCGATATTTTGTAATCAAAAAGGGTGATTTTATTCCAGAAAAATTAGTGAAAAAATATAAAAATTTAAGGGATTTCCGTACAAAATGTTCTTTGGCCTAAATTGATGCGGTTTAGACATCGTTTAACTAAAGGGTTGTCCAATAGGGACGCAGGAAAGTAAACGTCAATTTGACATAGACGCCATCTTTGTTTTCTGTCACCGACATGTCATTTTGTTAGTTGAATGTTTACCATTGATCGCTATGGAGTCGTATTCGATTGAAGACCGCATTAAAGTTATTCAAGAGCACTACAAAAATGGTGCAAAAATAAAAAACACGTTTCGCGCGCTTCGTGAACATTTCGGTCGCAACAACCGCCAAAACGAAACAACCATCGGTCGTCTGGTGCGTAAATTCGAGGCAACAGGTTCTGTGGCAAATCTGGCAGGCTCTGGCCGGCCAAGGAGCGTTCGCACACCGGAAAATATTGCTGTTGTGAAGGAGAGTGTGAGAGACGATCCGAAACAATCAACAACGCGTCGATCCCAAGAATTAGGCATTTCGAGAACCAGTTTCCTCCGCATTCTCAACAAGGATTTGAATGTACACGCCTACAAGATCCAATTGACGCAAGAGCTGCGTCGGGCCGACCATTTTTCGCGCCGAACGTTCTCAGATTGGCTCCTTGAACACCGCCAAATTGATGCCAATTTTTCATCAAAAATCATGTTCAGCGACGAAGCGCATTTCACTTTGAATGGGACGGGTAAACAAGCAAAACTGCCGCATCTGGGCGAACGAAAATCCCCGTGAGTATCAAGAGCAGCCGATGCATCCTCAAAAAGTGACTGTGTGGTGTGCATTGTGGTCAAAAGGCATCATCGGACCTTACTTTTTCGAAAATGCGGCCGGGGACGCCGTTACCGTCAATTCTGAGCGATATCACGTGATGATAGAGGACTATTTTTTGCCGCAACTTGAAGGAATGGATATGGACGATGTTTATTTCCAACAAGACGGTGCAACATGCCACACAACCAACGTCAATATCCAGCGATTGCAGTCCTTCTTCGGTGATCGCGTGATTTCGCGCAGAGGAAATGTGCCATGGCCACCAAGATCGTGCGATTTGACTCCCTTGGACTCCTTTTTATGGAGATATTTGAAAAGAAAGGTCTACGTCAACAAACCAGCCACCCTCCAAGCACTCAAAAACAACATCATTGCCGAGATAAATGCCATAGAACCGACCATATTGCAAAATGTCATTGAAAATTCTGAAAATCTGTAAATCCAGTCGTGGTGAACATTCCAGCGATATTATTTTTCATACATAAATGGTATAAATGAACCTTCAAAATAAAGTACCCAACTTGATTTGAATATCAATCCTTCTTGTTTTAATATGCGTTTACTTTCCTGCGTCGGTTTTGGACAACCCCATAATTTGTTGATTAAATTAACCATTTGTCGGAATGTCGAAAAAAAAGCCCTCTAGCGGCCACATGTGAAACCAACAAAACTTCAAATATTATAACAGAATAGCTCTTTTCAAGTATCCCAAGTTTGTTAAAATCGGCTGAGCCGTTTCGAAGATAAAGGGTGTTTTTAACAGAAACCTTTGAGTATCCCCCACCACTTTATTTTTATAGCAACAGCAAAAATTGTCAAACAAAAAAGGTTCAGATTATCCTCGAATTTAAAGGTCAGTTATTTTTTTTTTGTTATGTTAATATAGCGAAATTCACAGAAACATCACTTTTTTAGATCCCAGATTGCAGTTACGCCCCCTAGCGGACATTTCAGAAATTTGAAAATATTTTCCACGTTTTTTCTTTTAGTGAATACAGCAGACGCTCGATAACGTAAACACGGGATAATGAAAACTTGCGCTAATATAAACATAAGCTTCGTTCTATAGGATCAAGCGGAACGCGCGATAACGTAAACAATGTGTACGCTCGATAACGTAAACAACTCTCGGCGCACGCAAACAGCGCGACGGTAAAATGCTGAAGCCTCGATGATTTATGTCGGGCGTCGGGGAGTCCCCGATTTATGATGTAGAGTGTAGGGGATTCACCTCTGCGATAAAATACGACAAACTCGGTCAGTCGTATGATCGTTTAGGATACGTTTATACGTACGTATGTATTTCATTTTTGAACTTAAGTGAATACATTGCACGCGTTAATATATTTTACGACTATGGCATCCACATCCTATAAAAGAGTGTGTTTAAAGTTGAGTGAGAAAGTGAAAATCATAGACGAAGTTGCACTAGGTGCGGGAGTGACACAGTTAGCAAAAGAATATGGAGTATCGAAAGCAACAATCTGTAAAATTAAGCGTATGAAAACTCAAATTTTACAAAGAACGTGCAATACATTTGGAGGTCCGGGAAAAAGAAAAACTTTAAAAAATGCGCAGGCACCTAAAATGGAAAATTCCCTGTATAGGTGGTTTTTAAAACAACGGGAAACTTATGTCCCAGTTAGTGGCGAAGTACTTAAACAGAGAGCGAGACTGTCAAATGAAAAACTGAAAGAAACTGAAAATTTCGTAGCTAGTGATGGCTGCCTACAACGATTCAAAACAAGATATGGAATTCGACTGCTGTCTATATCTGGTGAAAAATTATCAGCACAACCACAATTAGTGCAACCATTCAAAGAAAAATTGATGAAAACAATTACCGAGCTAGATTCAAGAATGGAACAAATTTACAACGCAGATGAAAGTGGCCTTTATTGGAAAATGTTACCAGAGAAAACCTATGCTGCATCATTTGAAAAATCTGCCCCGGGAAGAAAGCCGGAGAAACAACGAATAACGTTTCCAGCCTGCACTAATGCTAATGGTTCACACAAAATAAAGTCACTGGTAATTGGGAAAGCAAAAAATCCGCGCCTCATTTAAAAATGTTAATATCCCTGTTGATTATGACTGTTCAAAAACCGCTTGGATGACTAGCAGTATATTCCTGAAATGGTTCCACAGGAGCTTTGTCCCTCAGGTATGACAATCAATTATCACAAATGCTCTATTCATAATTTGAAGATGTGTTTTCAATTTGTAGGTAAAAGGTTTCCTGAAACAACAGAAGCTTCCAATAAAAGCGTTGTTACTATTGGATAATGCACCAAGTCATCCTCCCGAGCAACAACTGAGGAGCAGGGATGGGCCAATTTTCGTCATGTACATGCCGCCCAACGTAACACCGATGGACCAGAATATAATAAGACTCACCAAACTATACTATAGGAAGTTTCTACTTTCGTCTGTCTTATCAAAGAATCCTGAAAACTTATCTGAGGCTTAAAAAAAAGTAACATTACGAGAAGCTGTTTTAGATTTACATATGGCCTGGAATGAACTTAACCAGCAAACTATTCAAAAATGTTGGAACAATCTCTTTTGTACCAATAATGAAGATGATGAAGAAGACGATGTCCCCTTAAGCGTAATTAGAGAACGTTTGCGATCCAATAATGATAATGTTATTAGTGTGTCATTGGATGTTGTTGATTTATTGAAAACAGTGAATCCCAACATTGTTTGTACTCCTGCTGATATTAATTTATGGAACGAAGATAAGCAGACGAATGATGCTGATAAGGAGGAGGATATGGACAGTGAGGATGATGAGAACGATCCCATTGAAGTCAGAAGTGTAGTGACTGACGCGCAAGCTAAACAAGTTTTTAACCAAGCTTTAGATTGGGCTGAAAGAAAAGAAGTTTCATAGACGGATATTTTAGTTCTTCGTAAATTACGGGCGCAGGCATTGGAAGACAATGCTAAGCGCAAATTTACGCAGACAAAAATTGATAATTATTTTTCTTCTAATTAAAAAAATACTTATCGCTGTTAGAATATTTGTTTATTTTGTTATAAATAGTATGTATTAAACGTTTCTTTTAATAAATCAAATATTATATAAATCACGTTCGCTAATGTAACATTTCGATAATGTGAACCACACTTGGATTAAATTAGTTTACATTATCGAGCGTCTGCTGTACTTTTTTGTGGCAAGCCCGTTGCTGCTTTACCTTGGTACTGGCCTCCAGTCTTGTCCCCTTTCATCCTATCAAAGTACTGCTTTTTCGAAAGATCCTGTTGTACCGAGTTGGATATCTGCTGCATCGCCTCCCAAGTGTTCGATCCGTCCTTAGTGACCCTCAAAGGGCATTTCTCCAATAATTTCGCTAGAGGCAGCTTTCTCTCTACTTCCGAGTCATCTGAAAATGGTACCAAGAAACCCCAACCGAGATCGCGAATGTAATGAAGAGGGTAACCCTCCCACGTCAGCGAAAGCAGTTTCGGTGTGATCTGCATCGACGTGCTGATGAGATGAGGTCCTGGAATCCACAATGGAGACGAGTCCGGTTTGGTGCACAGTTTTCGGTACCAATTCGGGTAACCGGGCAGTAGGATCTTTACTGATGGCAGGTATTCCTTGGTGGCCGATAAGTACCTGAACTTCTCCTCTAATTCATCGATTTCTTCGGTGTCTAGGTCATTAGGGTCATTTACTGACTGGTCGACTTGACTTTTGTGACATTGCGTGGGGGGTACCGGGGGTGGTTCCTGAAATTATCGAGAATAACCAAAAGTTGTCACAGGATACTTGGTTCCTGGAACGTCCGATTTAGGTCCAATTTGGGTCGGTAGGAAACGCCCCATAGTTTCCAAACTTACTATTTTACAAGTTCTATTCAGAACACAGAATGCAGCTCCAGGAACAGATCAGTACGGTTAAAATTCTAATGTTGTTTAAAATAGTTACAAAAGAACCACAACCACATTGACCTACCTCTTTATATACTAAGTGACATATAAATCAGAACACCCAGTTTAAATGGTTTTATTTTAATAAAATTTTGTATAAGTACTTAATGAAGAATAATGAGTAAATGATAAAAATTTCAAAATGATTGCACTGCTTTAAAGCCCTTTGACCTTTAATAATGTGTGGATGCACCCTGAAGTGCTACGCATTCTCCAACGCGCCTAGGCATGCTTCTGATCAGGTGGTCAATGTCCTCCTGTGGTTCTAGGCAACCACCAACTCCTCTCGAAGTGCTTCTAGAGTCTGAGGAGGACGTTGCTAATTGAACAATCTCCTACCCATCATATCCCACACGTGCTCAATTGGGGATAAGTCGGGAGATCTTGGTGGCCATGGTAACAATGTGACATCATTATGTTGAAAGAAGTCTATTGTGACTCTTGCAACATGTGGTCGGACATTATCTTGTTGGAAAGTTGGATCTGCCAGGGTGTCAAGATAGGGTAAAAGATGGGGTTCTAGAACTTCGTGGATATAACGCTGCGCGTTCATGTTACCTCTGATGAAGATTAAAGGTGACCTGGAACCATAAGCTATAGCACCCCAAACCATAACTCCAACAGTGTGTTGAACATGTCTTTCAACAAAAAACTGTGGTTTCCTCCTTTCACCACGTCGCCTTCTAACCCTGGCACGACCATCGTGCATGCCTAAACAAAATCGAGACTCGTCACTAAAGACAATACTGTTCCATTCCTGATCCCAGAGTGACCGTTGTCTGCACCACTCAAGGCGATTACGTCGGTGTTCTCGAGTTAAAGGGAGGACCTAGTGTGGCCGGTATGAAAACAAGCCAAAACTTCTCATTCGTCGGTAAACACTTCGCATGCCAATAGGTCTTCCGTGTTCTGCAAACCATTCATTTGCAATGGACCTGGTAGTGGAGAAACGGTCCCTTAAGGCCAATAATCTTAGGCGGCGATCTTCACGGTCTGTTGTTCTACAGCGGCGTCCAATGCCCCTTGCTCTTTGCGTACGGCCTTCTCGAAGCCATGCCTGACAACACCTAACCACAGTGTCTACACTTCTTTGCACTCTAACTGCAATTGCCCGCAAAGAAAGTCCAGCTGCCCGAAGTCCCACTATACGGCCCCTATCAAACTCACTAAAGTTGACGAAATCGTACAGGTCTAACCGATCGTAAAGGATGTCAAGAACCAAAATCCGCCAACGTTGATTCTTTACTGCGGCTGAAATATTCATTTTTAGAGCGTTAGTGAATTAAAAAAAAGGAGTATAAAAACCGGAATGTCCAACTGATAAGGCTGAACATTTTTTCACTTGTTATTTACAGTAAGATAAATACATTCACCAACTTTTATTAAAATAAAACCATTTAAACTGGGTGTTCGGATTTATATGTCACTTAGTATATATTGATTATTATTTTTACGATATAATTCCCTATTATCACAATTTCTAGAATTTTATTAGAAACTCAAATAGCTTCACAACGATTGAAGATAAGTATAATCTTAATTATAAAAAAGTTACTAAAAACTTCATGGAAAATCTATACATTAAATAAAAATGAGGGTTTCCATTTAGAAATCTAAGATGTAACGAAATATATTCTTTTTGGATCACCCTGTATTATAGATGTAAAGACGTCTCCCTAGAAATCAAAATGGACGTGTCCGAGCGTGTTTCCTAAAATATTACAAATGGGAATGCTACCTTTTCGTTGGGCTACCATAAAAAAGAATATTGTCATATTTAAAAACTATTCAGTCAGATGTTTAAATACGCGGTATTTGTGACTGTCGAAACTGTATTATCATCATATTCACAGATCACCCTGTTCAAATCATGTACCTTTTTCTTTTTAACAATTCGTTTTCTTAGCTTTATATTCTTTACTTCCCAATCTTGATCCCACATCCACAAGTCTTCTTTATATTTTTCATCGTGTAGCATTTGACAGGCTTGGTCTGCTCTTCTGGCAAGCAATATTCTACCTTCGATATCTAAATCCTCATAAGCTTGTTCAGAATCAGATATATATCTTGACCAGTTTGAATTTACTGGCAAATAAGCAGTACCCAACTCTAGCATACCTAGAAATATCTTGTTTCAGTAACATCCCAAACATTACTTTATAGTATAATCTCATTTTTAGATAAGATAGATATTCTGATATTTACCATTTAAGTTCAAGTTTATTAAAGCATTGATATAGACGAAGAATAGGATCGGACCTAAAACTGATCCTTGCGGTACCCCTACGTTTATATTTAATGTATTTGAAATATACTAAGTGACATATAAATCCGAACACCCAGTTTAAATGGTTTTATTTTAATAAAAGTTGGTGAATGTATTTATCTTACTGTAAATAACAAGTGTCAAAATTTTCAGCCTTATCAATTGGACATTCCGGTTTTTATACTGCTTTTTTTAATTCACTAACGCTCTAAAAATGAATAGTTCAGCCGCAGTAAAGAATCAACGTTGGCGGATTTTGGTTCTTGACATCCTTTACGATCGGTTACGATGCCTAGAGTACGGAGACCTGTACGATTTCGTCAACTTAGTGAGTCTGATAGGGGCCGTATAGTGGGACTTCGGGAAGCTGGACTTTCTTTTCGGGCAATTGCAGTTAGAGTGCAAAGAAGTATAGACACTGTGGTTAGGTGTTGTCAGGCATGGCTTCGAGAAGGCCGTACGCAAAGAGCAAGGGGCACTGGACGCCGCCGTAGAACAACAGACCGTGAAGATCGCCGCCTAAGATTATTGGCCTTAAGGGACCGTTTCTCCAGTACCAGGTCCATTGCAAATGAATGGTTTGCAGAACACGGAAGACCTATTGGCATGCGAAGTGTTTACCGACGAATGAGAAGTTTTGGCTTGTTTTCATACCGGCCACACTGGGTCCTCCCTTTAACTCGAGAACACCGACGTAATCGCCTTGAGTGGTGCAGACAACGGTCACTCTGGGATCAGGAATGGAACAGTATTGTCTTTAGTGACGAGTCTCGATTTTGTTTAGGCATGCACGATGGTCGTGCCAGGGTTAGAAGGCGACGTGGTGAAAGGAGGAATCCACAGTTTTTTGTTGAAAGACATGTTCATCAAACTGTTGGAGTTATGGTTTGGGGTGCTATAGCTTATGGTTCCAGGTCACCTTTAATCTTCATCAGATGTAACATGAACGCGCAGCGTTATATCCACGAAGTTCTAGAACCCCATCTTTTACCCTATCTTGACACCCTGGCAGATCCAACTTTCCAACAAGATAATGCCCGACCACATATTGCAAGAGTCACAATAGACGTCTTTCAACATAATGATGTCACATTGTTACCATGGCCACCAAGATCTCCCGACTTATCCCCAATTGAGCACGTGTGGGATATGATGGGTAGGAGATTGCTCAATTTGCAACTCTAGAAGCACTTCGAGAGGAGTTGGTGGTTGTCTGAAATGAGATACCACAGGAGGACATTGACCACCTGATCAGAAGCATGCCTAGGCGCGTTGGAGAATGCGTAGCACATCAGGGTGCATCCACACATTATTAAAGGTCAAAGGGCTTTAAAGCAGTGCAATCATTTTGAAATTTTTATCATTTACTTATTATGCTTCATTAAGTACTTATACAAAATTTTATTAAAATAAAACCATTTAAACTGGGTGTTTGGATTTATATGTCACTTAGTATATTTGAAATATGATGCCTTGATAATCTTATAATTTGAGATCGATTATCTAAATGTGTTTTGAACCAATTGAGTGAAGTTCCAGTGCAAACATATTTACTTAATTTTCTAAAAGTCGCAAAGAAGCGATATTGAAAAATTTGAGTATACTTTTGCTATAACAGTAAAAGTACCTGCTAAAGTCGCTGGGTGCGGAAAACGTTCGGAAAACATAGGGAATAGTACTTTAAATATATCACAGGTAGCTATGACATCACCGCTACAATACTTCATCACAGTCTGGAACTCGGAGTTTATCTCTGATAAAGTACCAGTAACAAATAGATCTCTTGTGGCTTTGTCTAATGTTGCATCACAGTATAGTTTATAACAATCTGCTAGACTGTTCAAGGAACTAAAAAAAAAAATAGTAAATGATTTACACGGTTCAAAGAGGGTCGTTATTCGCTGGAAGATGATGAATATGTTGGCCAGCCAAAATTTGTGGTTACGTCAGAAACCATCAAAGTTACTTCTATAGAGTTTCCCATAATCTTAGCATGTATTCCAAAAAAAATTGTGTATAACACTATAATTCTTCCCATTTTTTATATTGTTCAAAATTACAAATTCTACAAAATCTATGAGAATCATTTTAGATAAAAACAAATATGCCAGGATTAAGTCTAAAAAATATTTCCTATTGGGGGTCCAGGTCCCCAGTACCTACGTCCCTGGTTTACTTTGGGCCAGGAAACTCTGTATGGTGTATCTGAAGTCACTTGAAATAGCATAAAAACCTTTGTAATTTCATGACGTATCATAGGCGTGCGGCATTTATTTAGAACGATAATAATAATGTTTTTATATCACAATAAATGGATTTTACTATCTTCTTATTTTTTTGATTTGGGATAAAAAACTTATATTGGGAGTTTAATTTATGTTGACTGAAAGTTAAGAAATGGAAAAATTACAGAATTCCAACGTTTGACATTTGGCAAATATTTACATAGCAGGTAGGTATATAAAAAGGTATATAAAGACTTATATTATAGGTATTTATATATCATCCTCGCCTTCGGAGCTGTCGCTAGTCATCTTGTAGAGGAATTACAACGGGATTTACAGGAGGCAAAACACAATATTCATTTTCTTTTTCAATAATATGCCTAGAACACTGCTTCCATAGGTCTGTGGCAGCAATATGAGATACTGCATCTCTTATTGTGGCCAATAGCGATTCACTTAATTGAGGGGTCTGATTATGTTTTCTTACTTTTTTTTTTAAAGCAGCCCAGACCAACTCAATCGGGTTAAAAATGCAGTAATAGGGAGGTAGACGTAATACTTCATGGCCATTTTGCTGAAGCAGATTGTCAACAACATACTCTTTTTGAAATTTTTGTCTTTTAATAAGATCCAATAATATGGCTTTGGTTGATTTTTGTGGTATTTCCATTCCCTTATCCTTCATAAAATCAATAATGTCTTGTTTTTTTGTGCCTGTATTTGGAATTTTGTTTTTCTGTCGGGAATGGTATGGCGCATTGTCCATAATAATCACTGAATTTGGGGAAATGTTTGGTATTAACTGCTGCTCTATCCACTTTTCAAATAAGTCGGAGGTCATGTCCACATGATAGTCGGCACATGATTCTTTGATATTTTTGGCAGATAACAGCAAGGCATTAGGTATAAATCCATTTTCACTGCCAGCATGAAGAATAATGATTCGTTTTTCACGGATGCATGGTGCATTTAAAATGCACTTGTTGCTGTCGTCAACCCAGCCGTACTGCACAACATCATGGGTATCATACCACGTTTCATCCAGGTAAATCAGATTTCTTTTCTGCTCTCTATAGATTTTAACTTTGTGCAAAAATTCTTGGCGCAATTCAACGATTCGAGACGACTCCATAATCACCATTCTTTTATCTAATTTTTTGTATTGAAAACCACACAGTTTTACAATACAGTGCAGTGAGTCTAAGCATTTGTAATTATAAAAATCTTCAGGATAATCTTTTAATTTATCCCGTATCATTTCCAACGTGGGCACCAAATTTTCTTTATAAAATCCGTATATTATACGACGAATATCTTCCTGAAAACCCACGTCTATTCTTTTTAATTTTTGCCCTATGCGCTTTCTGTGGAAGGAATGGTTGACTACATCTCCCCTTTTATAACCCGATAAATGGTAGACCGACTGATTTTTGTCAGGATACAAATTCTGTTTAAAATTTGATTTTGCGAGGAATCTGGATTTTCGTTTTTCAGACAATCATACATATTTAGGATTACTCTTTGGGTCTGTTCCTCTAAATCTTTATGAAAGAATTCTGCCTGCACAGGTTCATCAACCATCTCCTCGTGGCTTGGAGCATTTTCCCAAGGTCTCCAAAGAGCCATATTTAGGACACACAAGAACAATCAACACAACAATTAAATCAACAAGTAAACTGAGTATTCAAAAGTCAAAAATACACAAACTAATAAAATCTATGAAAAAACACGGACAGACTAAAGAAAACACGTTTATTCACCGCTACACGGCACTGGCTAAACTGTTTCAATTTTCAGTAGCCACCTGCACTTGTTCGGAGCTCTGAAATACACGCTTTCTCATTGGCTATGTCCACGCATAGGCGTGCTTTACTCCACGTGGACCGGTGAAACTGCCTTTGATCTTATACAGGGGATATTTGCTGCGAAATTTGGCGATTTTTGCAGCAACAGAGCGTGTTAAATATAGATATATAAAACGCACCCGGTATTTCACAGTGTTTCAAGTGACTTCAGATAAAGTATACATATATTTTTATTTAAATTTTCGTAAATATAAATATAAAATATATAAAATTACCTGAAATTTTTCCAAGTTTCATCTTCATCATTGAACTTTTCAGATTTCAAAACGCTTCTCTGGTAACTTGTTAATCCACCGATTGAAATATGTAAGCTCATTGTATCTACAAATCTAGTACCAGTTCTGTTCAACCAGTACTGCTCCTTAATCCTAGCTCTATCATATGAGACATTGTGTCCAACAACAATCTTTGGTTTTCTTTGATATTCTGACAAATGCATACCGTCATCTTTATCTGTGCTTTCCAGTGGTATCAGGGAAGCAACAGAATATTCGTTTGACGTAACTGCCTTGCTTGTACCATCTATCAATGAAGGACTGACCCAACCATACCACGCTTCAGAACTTGCTGCTGTCGCCAAGGTGGGTGTTTTACCAGCTGAAACGCAGACCTGCAAGATGTATAATAATAATGTTTATTCAAATTTGATGCTTTCTAACTGGCCTTTGTTGATCCAGATCAAATGAATAAATGTTTTTGTAGCCAAACCAAGTGATTTATCAAGAATTTCTTGATTAAATGTGGGGATTAAAGGCCCTCTTCTTACATATCATATATTTTTTTTGCTTAGTTTGAGAGATATTTTAGAAAAAATCGACAGATTAAGAATTTTGATCTCAACTATCTTAAACATTAAATTATCTTTCTTCATAGTATGAATTATATGTTATTACCTCAACATCAAACACAACAGCATCTTCTAAAGGGTATGGAACCTTTTCTGGTGCACGTCGTGGGGCATACCTAGTCCAGCCAGCTTCCTTAACCCATTCCTTAGGTGGGTCAGGCATTGGTCCCAATAGATCAACTAATAAACATCTGTAAGGCATCAACTGGAGGTCCGCTATGATCCTAAAATGCTCTTCAATATTCTTACCTTGGATCGGTGGAATCTTGTAATCGACATCACCCATACAAGTGTTTTCGTTGCTCTGCATACCATGTTTGGCGAGCTCTTTAGCGCACTGCTCTAACACGTCAGGTTTACAAGTGTCTCTGTAACCTTCTATGAAAACTTGATCGTAGATAGCTTTGGACAGCATTTGTATATCGAGTTTGTTTCTTCGTGGCCCGAAAACCTTTTCGACGCGGGGCAGAGGTGTCGGTTTCTTGAGTTTCTTTGGTTTTGGTTTATCAGGATTCGGCAGAAATATTTTCCTTTTAGTGCTCGGCTGAATATCAAAATGTGCTCTTCTGATATGAATTAGGTAGTTTACGAACGAATACCGTTTTGTGATCATCTTTAGATGTGCTCTTAAATGTTTATAACCTATAACTAAGCGATAAATACAATGAAAATGGGTACTCACTGCGAATGATGTTTGATGACAGCAAATTGGACGAAGCACTCGATATTTGAAGGAATCGGCAGCGATGGAGCAATGTCGGCTGTGTTTATCTCACTTGTATTAAAAAAAAGCAAATAAAACCATCCATCGACACAGGCATGACAGTCGAAGATAACCTAAAATAATCCTGTGACATGTGTCGTCTATCGCGTTGTTCTGTGGATCTAAGGCTAGCCACAGACGTGCTTTTATTTGACCGTCACATTCAACGTACCAAGAATGCTGCGATTCTGTTTTCGAGTTCGCTTTGCTCTGATATTTCAGAAATTTTGTCTCTTGTATTAATTGAAAAATCTTGATGAGAGAGAAAACCACTTTTCTAACTACCTACGTCAATGTTCAATTATTATGCAGTATCTCTTATCTGTCGACAACGTCAAAAATTATCAGCTGAAGGTGAAATACATTACGTCAGCTGCAGTTGCAAATATCAAGAAGGCTTCTAGGCGCCATCATGTAATATTTTTTAATTGAATGGAGGGCCATGTGATTTCTTATTTTGTACAGAAAATCCGATATAACTCAATAGGCAGCAGCGGTGGCCGCAGTAGTAGACTCTTCGGTCTCCTGATCAGTCGCCGTGCGCTGTGCGGGTTCGAACCGCGTCCCAGGAGAAATGTTTCTCTTGGCTATGGATGTTGTGATTGTCCGTAGGTAGTAGACGGTGTCTGACTGTCGAACGCGGAAGTACCACCCGGCGGATCTCGTAGGCGGAGCCAGAATGTGTGCATGTTGCATGCACACGTGTTCCCTCGCCAGAGTCCGTGTGGCGTTCCCCCTTTCCCCTGTATCCCCTATAGCCCCACGGTAGCCAATGGGTGTTTAGGCCTTAGGCCTTCGTGGTAGTTGGAGAATAAAAAAAATAATTAATAATGGAAACATTATTGCATCTTCTCCTTTTGGAATGGTAAATAATGTACAATATAACAGGACATTCAGAGTTAAAAAAATAATAGATGTTGATAGTTTCATATTTAGATATCATATTTTATTATTACATATTCAGATTGAGCCTCTCCCAAAAGAATACCATTGTTATATACTAACAAGTTGGAAATAATGTTTACATCTAGGCCATGTTAAAATTAAACCTTTCGAATCAAAGGTCCACCAATCGAGTTGTTGAAAAAATGCATAAATAACAGGTTGCCTGTATAAAACCCAATTCTCTTTTTTTCACGTCAGATAACACGATAAATAATGAACGTATGTGGCAGGGCTTAGAATGACTATGACATTTAACCGATGCGTTTGTCAATATTTGTGTTCCGTGGTTTATCAACAAACAAATCGAGGTCAAGTTTATTAAAAAAATGATTATTGAATAAACTTTCAGCAAGCAAAATAATAAAATGACAAATCTGCAAGAAGTCCCTACAGAGGAGTTACTTTCTTTCCAAGACTATCCAACCGTCCACATCACTGGTTACAACACGACAATACCAATTTCAGATTCGCCAGCAAAAACTACGGTGCCAGAAGGTGATATTAATAATTCACCAGATGTACCTAGACTGGACAGTGACTCTTCAGATGATAAAGGTATTGTCCTTTCTTGTTTGCAATAGTTTTACACTGAAGTAATGATAATAAAATTTTGTTTCAGCTATGTCAAAATCATTTTGGTCGATAGAATACTACCAGAAGTTCTTTGATGTAGACACCAAAGACGTCGTCGAGCGAATTTTGGCATCTGTCACACCGAAATGGGACAACTCACTGAAGCACCATCTGCGCACAAAACCTGACCTTTATGGTCCATTTTGGATATCCGTCACACTTATTTTCACCATTGCTATAAGTGGCAATGTAGCAAATTATTTCCAACATGCTAGTGAAAAGTATCACTGGAGGTATGACTTTCATTTGGTGTCTTACGCTGCTACATCGATATTTCTGTATGTTACTCTAGTTCCGTTTATCCTTTGGGCTCTGTTGAAATGGAGTGTGCAAGTTACAGATTTAGAAGGGTTAGATAGCGAGATAGTACCAGGTGTGCTAGAGTTGATTTGCATCTATGGATATTCACTTTTCATTTACATTCCTGTTTCCGTATTATGGACAATCCAGATTGGTTTACTGCAGTGGAGTCTTGTTATTTTAGGTACTTTTATATCGGGATCTGTTTTATTTTTAACAGTTTTGCCGGCATTGAGATTGTCGAAGCACAAAATTATGTTGACGTTGGGAATATTAGGTTGTCATTTGTTGCTAGCAGCTGGATTTATGTTGTGCTTTTTCCATGTGCCCAATACCTTGCCAGTGATACCACCTACCAAAGTTGTAGAGACTGTTACAAAAGCCGTAACTGAGACTGCTAAAAATATCAGTCATTCTTAAGTTCGATTCATATATACTGAAAAATATGTTAATATATGCCTATATAAACAGTGTTTTTTATTTGTAGTACCCCATCATGATTTAAATGTAGGGATGTTCGATACAATCCGATATGTAGAGGTATCGATACTTTTGATTCTGATACCCCATATTTTTATACAGGGTGTCCCAGAAGTCGACGTCAAGCCGAAACCGGGTGATAGGCAAAGTCATAACAGCTATCAGAAAAATATTTAAAAAAATTTTATGTATGTGTTTTGAAAATTATAGGTCTTTGAAAAATATATAGAAATTTCACACCCTACGGCAGTCTGTCAACTCCTGTTACTACAAATATTAACTTTTTTTGGATTTTATTTTTACAATGTAATGATGAATAATGCATCTTCAAACTGGTGTCTCAACCTTACTGCCAACTTTTCTCGTTCAGGAAAAATTGCCACTTATTTCCCAACCAAGTATTCCAAAGTAAAACTTTGCTCAACTTTAACTGGCTGTACTGGAAAAAAAATGTACTACGAGAGTTTGGCAAGTAACCTTAAAAGTTGGCGCATTTAATAAGGATTCCAAAATGGTATAACACTTAGAAGATTACTCGTTAACTTATGTACAATTTTTAGTCTTTGCCGTAGCTCAGCTACATTTTGAATCGGCTTGAAATACACTTTTTCTTTTACAGTTCCCCAGTAAAAAAATCTAAAGGATTCAAATCAGGTGATCGGGCTGGCCACGGTATTGTACCAGACTGCCTTATCCATCTGCCTGGAAAGTTTTGATCGAGATACTCTCTCACTGAGAGTGTATAGTGCGCTGGGCAGCCATCATGCTGAAACCACATGTCCCTGTAAATACTTAGTGGCACGTCCACCAATAAATTTTGTACATGATTTTTCAAAAAATCCAAATAAACTTCAGCTGAAAAGGTAAATCATCATCAGCAGCATTTTGACGCCCACTGTTGTGCAAACAGTTATCCTTAAAGGTCCTTGTGCGTTTTCATAATCGCTGTTTAGTTTTTCTTCAAATAAAAATTGTGCATAAGTTAACGAGTAATCTTCTAAGTGTTATACCATTTTTGAATCCTTATTAAATGCGCCAACTTTTAAGGTTACTTGCCAAACTCTCGTAGTACATTTTTTTTCCAGTACAGCCAGTTAAAGTTGAGCAAAGTTTTACTTTGGAATACTTGGTTGGGAAATAAGTGGCAATTTTTCCTGAACGAGAAAAGTTGGCAGTAAGGTTGAGACACCAGTTTGAAGATGCATTATTCATCATTACATTGTAAAAATAAAATCCAAAAAAAGTTAATATTTGTAGTAACAGGAGTTGACAGACTGCCGTAGGGTGTGAAATTTCTATATATTTTTCAAAGACCTATAATTTTCAAAACACATACATAAATTTTTTTTAAATATTTTTCTGATAGCTGTTATGACTTTGCCTATCACCCGGTTTCGGCTTGACGTCGACTTCTGGGACACCCTGTATATGATACTCGTGAAATGTATCGATATCTTTTGATCCGGACTGTGTCAGAAAGAGTGACTAACTTCAGATTGCTTTCCTTTCTTGTCCTTCCACTTCATATAATTTATTCTGGATTCCAGGGTTGCCATATTAGGGAGTTTAACCCAAAAATCAGGGGATTTTTATTTCAATTGGTAAAATTTTGGGAACTTTTTTTTTTCTGGGGATTTCATTTGGCAAAACATATTTTACTGTTGAGGTTTTATCTAAAATTTTACTAATGACATTTCATAATGTACTAGTTTCTAGGTAAATTGTGTACCTAGATTCCGAATTTGATGTCCATTTAGTGGCAAGATTCACGGGTAGCCCCGAGTTACAAGTTTCTTACCGATTTCAACCCGAATCCGGTCCGATGACACCGGAATTTTTTTCTACGATGCTCATATTCAGCGCTCCAAATTACCTTCCGCTCACATGTAGCCATCGATAATAAAAATGGATTTTTGGCACCCTCAAGTCGCAAGAAACGCATAGTTTGCAATTTTTCGCTAAGTAATTACATCTACATGGTTAACGGGATTAGATACATGTGAAATGACATCCGACTCGACTTTAGCGACCCAAAATATGTACGATGGAGGTAATTTGAACCGCATTTTTAGCATTCAATAAGATAAAATGAAAAATGAAAAAACAATGTTTTATTATATAAATATATTTATCATCTATGTTATCTAAAATTACATATCATTAATAGGAGAAGTAAAATTTTCATTTTCTCTGCTATTTATTAGGGGAATATGGTTTTTTGGTGACTGCATTCGCACTGGGGCGAGGGAAACCCCTAGAAAACCTCAACCGTCACTGCTCAGATTAATTGCATCAGGTACAGAAAAATCAAGTCGTTCCACAATTCTGGGTTCATTTGTACAATCGGAAATCTATAATCCACCAGCATGCCACAGTTATTAACCTAAAAAAGAAGTGGCATTGAAGTAACGGTTTCTATGAGGGCCATCTTTTAAGTAAGAACCGTTTTGTATTCAAGTCACAAACAAATTTTTCTGATTTTATTGTCAATAAATTGTGTAATATTGTTTTTAAACAGTGCTAGTCAGCTTACGTAGTGAAAATGAGTCACTTTGGAAGTCATTCTTTGACTGTATTTTATGAATAATCTAATGATGATGACAATTTATTACAAAAGGAATCACCTTATATAAATTTAAGAATAATTGTGTAGTTCTTCTGTGACCCTATTTGGTTGAATGTCCTTGAAGGAAAGATCTAATTGATATTCTCCAACCAAACTAATGGATCATGGGTTTTTTATAGCGGCGTAGTGAAACTGGCCAAGAGTGTTCGAGATTGAACGGTCTTCACGTTACAGGATGCGAAATTGGTTCTTACTTTAAAAACGCACCTCATAGTTCACTGACATGTTTCTGATAAGTCGTTAGAAAAATAAATTTTGGCGAAAGCTTTCTTCTATGGCGCCTCTGCTTTTTGCAATAGGTTTCAGAAACTATCTTTCCTGATAATACTGACTTATCGCGTAAGACACGTGAAACATGAAAAAAAATAAGTTCAAGATTATGTAAAAAATACCTGATCATTATTTCGATTATCAATTCAATTCATCTTCATATAACTTTTGCGTTAGTTTCCCATATATGTCCCTTAATTTCTTCAAAAGTTGTATGGAAATCGTGAACATGCTTAGAAACTTTTGCTTGGAACCTGACTGTATTTCGTCAAACTTCATCAATATATTGACAGTAGACACTACTGCTATTATCCACAGATTTATCTACAAAGAGAGTTCACATAAGTATTCTCATTTAAATAACACCTCTGCTTATTTCGAAACATCAAGTAGGTTGACTTATTTAAGTATAGTTTTTGGTCTTCTCAGGGTAAGTTTAGAAAATACATCTCTTGAGAACGTTTCCAAGATCCTTAACAGTTCTTTTTATACCTCAGTGGTTCGTGAAGTTCAAGACCAACCTTCTTGATGCCATACTCTCCAATGCTTACCCTGTAAAAATGTTGATGTTCGTTTGATTGCTGATTTCATGTCGTACTATAAATCGGACCTTTAATCATTCTTGACATGTTTCTATTGTTCCTATTCCACGTCTATTTTTAGCCGACTCGTGTATGCCCAATAAAACATTCATCCAGCTATCTAGGTAGAACATTTTTGGAACAGTTGCCTATACAAGTGATTATCATCAATATTCATTATCTCACGTTTAGCACGGGAGTGTCTATAACGTATGCCATTCCTGAAATTGGGGGTGTCAGCCCTCCAAAGCTGGATAAAATTGAGCTATGATTCTGAAAGAAAACCTGAAAGTTTTTGAGCAGTAGTTCTGTAAAATACGTAAAAATAAGAAATGTGCAATCACATCTTCGCTAAAAATAGATATGTTCGAAAAATATGTACCTAATAAAAATAGTAAATACCAGATGTATGCTAAAATTAAAATTATAATAAATATATCATTATCATCAATATTTATCATTGTTCATCACCATTCCTGAAATACGGAATGTTCTCATTCTCACCTAAAAGCTGAAACAAACTAATAAAAAAACTTACGCTACGATTTTAAAGCATAAATTCATAGATAACATGAAATACGTAAAAATAATAATTGTGGTAACCCATTTTGCGTCTAAATATATTTTCTTAATAAATAAAGGTGTTTTATCCAGCTGTCGATAGTAAAATAGAAATAGTGGATACCAAATATAATTAAAAAATATAATAATAAATATAGATTTGGAGACCATCGCGGGGCAACAGCCTGGAGTGAGTACCAAAGTTTTAGAAACCACCTTGCATGCTGAGGCATCTTGCCTCATACCTACTACTACCCCTACTATCACTAAGTACTACCAGAACTACTACTGCTACTACTACTACCACTACTACCTTCTTATCTGGTTACTTAGCACCTACGGACACACTTATGAAACCTGAACTTTTCACATATCTCATTCCTCAGAAACACTGGAGGATTTTACGTCAGCCACGTGTTTTGCAAGACATCACTCTGAAAATGATTAATCACGAAACATTTCTTCACATATTGCTTGTAAAAATTAATAATCGTTTTTAATACAGCGGATGGAGTGTATCATATCATGATACTTGTGTATACTTACATTAACACCATATTTAATACCTATGTTTTTAATTCCGGATCCCTGATTAACAGCTCGGCTATGTACCCAGGGGAATTCCTTCCTTCACTTTTCCCTCTTCTTGACGGACCTTTGTAGACTGCAATCGTTGAGGTTTATCACAGTTTTTTTAGCTGGAGACAAAAATCAAGCCCAACGATACTTCAGAAAAATTTATGAGAAAACCTGTAACAGAGAAGACCTATATAAAATATAAAAACAGATTTACCTCTGATGTATACCAACAACCAAACCATGATCTTGCTCGTGTTCGCCTGTGAAAACCATAAATGCACTCACATTCCAGCAAACTGCCATAGTCCCTGTAAAAAGTATGACCAGCAGTACTAAGATATTAAAACTCTCATTCTTACACATTGGGCAGGAAAATTCTATCAAGTGTT